TGACAGTGAAAATTATTCAGGACCCATGAGTACAAAACAAATATTTGTTGTTAAACTAGGTGGTACATATAGTTACCACGTGGCTTTAAATGGTCAAAATTTCAGGCTATACTTATGTGTATTTAATTATAAATCGAAGAAACTGGGATACGTGTATTTTTAAGTGTGTACATACTGCTATATTTAAAATGTGTTTTCTGGTTGTTACTAAAATGAACGTGACATACACAAGTGTTCTGTTATTTTAAATTGAATGATTATAATGTTCTTTATGGTATCACGTATGGAATAGTTTTGGAGTGGGTATGTCATTGGTGATATGATGGGAAAGGACAAAGCCCTTTTAATGTAGGTTTTTAATACTGAACATGGAAGTTTTCGGCGTAGAAATTAAAATGTGAAGACAGAAAAGAGGACAAGAACCTTGCAAATTTTACAAAAAAAATGATTTTTTTGTATTATTAATAACATTGTACTCGTAGACATGTCTTAATCTACCAGCATAACGGATTGCCAGGGGACATATATATTTGTTACGTTTCTACTACCCTGGCTGTCGTATTTATATTGGCGATCTCAGGGTTTTTGTGTGCTGGAACCTCTCGTTTGAATTTAGGCTTTCATGCTGAAACTGAACTACAAGGAACTGACTGGCCTGCGGTTTCAAAAATCGACATTACTGAAATTGTTTTAATTCTTGTAATTTTTGTGGACGTAAATTTGTTCAACGTGTTAACGTTGGCAAGCCATTTCGTGTTCTACGCGCGCAAATAAGGAGACTCAATTGCTTACAGTTTTGTTGCGTTATTAGAACCACTGTATACAGAGCTTAGTTAATTGTGTTGCTTTGAGCATGTGTGGACTTAGGGTTTTTAAACCACCGTGGTACGCAGGAGTGGTCGCGGTCCGGTACAATTCAGCCGTGTTAAATGCAGATGGTTCCACTGAATGCGAGTTTCGTCTGCGTTTTAAACTGTGTAACTTTGCTGCTTTACCGCCCTGTATCGCTACCGCGCTGGTTTGAAAGAACCGTTAATTAAAAGTTATTCACGAAGGAAACCTTCGTACTGTTAACTAACAGTAAGCAGTTTGATAAACAAGAATGCCATACTGTAATGGATAAGCACTGTACAGACCATTCAAAGTTATGTCTTATTCTTTTGAAAGATGTTTATTATTTGTTTTGGTAATTGTTAATTACATTTAAATGGGAAAACGCTTGAAGATAAGGAACAGAAATGTTAGTACAACTTTCATGAATGTGGGCATAAAAATGTCGTTTTGGTGTGTGTACAAAAATATTACGTTTATCCAATACCACAAATACTCACTTTGTCTTGTCTAGAAAAGAAATTTTAAAAAAAACCTACAGTCTTGCTTGACACTGAATGATGGTTTATTGTCTCGGTACCTGTTTACATTAAATGCCTTATCCACCCCTGGCTCAAACTGAGAATACAGCACAAGTATTTTCAAGCTCTTAATGATCTACATTTTAATTCACTACGAACTTCATCATCATGAAATCTCTCAAATCATTCAGTGTAGTTATAATATCATTAAAACACTAAGGTTTTTTATTGTATAAAAAAGTTGTAATGATATGTATTATACTGTCTTTTATTCTGTAACATCTTTGCAGATGAATCAACAGCGATGGTTCCAAGGAACAAAGGAGAACTGTTGATTTACTTTTATTGTTGTAACATCTGTCAGATAATTGCGTTTCCTGTAAGTTTCTGTCTGTATTTTATATGTAAATAATAATGTCTCCTTTAAGTATATGAAGGTGCAAAACATAGTACAGCCTAGGTCTTGCATTTCTTGTGTTGTTCATGTTGAAACTCGTCTACCCTATGTTACCATCGTCTCCTTTCCTTCCCATTTCTTGTGCTATTAGATTAAGGGACCAGCGAGTAAATGGAGATAATGTGAACTGCCATTTTGCTTCGTTGTTTCTACATTTAATGAGGAACATTTCTTTAGTTTTGGGAAAATAATCAAAACTGCTTTTAACAGGAGTTATGTGGAATAACTAATGAGTTCCTTGCACGAAGTGCTATGGGAGAACGCATTATCGGTTGGTCGGGTCTGTCCATTCGATTTAACTCGAGAACCACCGGACGGATTTGGATGACTTTTCTGTCTCCGTTATGAAAGATCAGTTGGTTAATGCTATTGTGGGACATAAACGCTGCGCGATGTGATAATCATACGAAACTCGTTAATACATTGTGTTGTTGAGTATCAGAACGGTTAGTGCGTTTAGTTACAACTGGCCTTTATAGTAAAACAAAAATGCTGATTTCGCATTTCGTCTCAGTACGTTGCGTTATACATATGAAATGTTGAACGACAGTGGCTTTGGCTTGATGCTAGAACGTTCTTTTCGACACCACCGAACTCGGGTTAATACGTCATTACCCCCACCCCCACACTGCAACCTGTTCAGCTCCTATCCCTTCATCACCCCTTCCATGTCTTTGCATTATTCGTAGTATCTAGGCCTGTCCATATACGATTATTCCCGTTGTTGCTGTTTGTATGCATTTATATATATTAATAAATACGACTTTGTTAATGACTTACAAATAAATCAAATTTGAGATTTGTTTCTAGCTGTTTAAAACCTGATTGCCATTTCCGATTGTGATTGTCAGTCACACGAAAACTGTCGAACTTTAGCCGAATGTAACTAGATGACAGCGCCAAGCGGACATTTTGGCATCCTGCTTGTGAGTAGAGGAGGGATGTTGCAAGAGCGTTGTTCTAATTGTAATTGCTAGTTTGTTGTGAATGTGTAAGATGGAATTGCGTAATTACATTTCTTAAGTGATTTAATGATTGGCGTAAAAGTAATTTAGGTTAAAATAATCAGTGCAGTGACAATGTCAATATTCTGGCCATTTGTGCTGTTTCGTCCACAAGACCGAGCTCCCAGTCGCAGTTGCACGGTAAGTACATGGAGCCAAATTACAGTTACCATATGCGTCGCGCTTTAATGATTGCCTCCGTGATTATACTGTTTATTGCACTTTCTTGAGCGAGTATCGAAAGGTGGTCAACATTACAGGTATCGTTATGTCGTGGAACAAGACTTGTTTAATGGCCGGTCTGAGAAATACTTCGATTATAGCGTCATTCGTATTATGGGATTATACAGAATCTGTATGCACCAAAAGTTGGCCTATCAACGTTCAGCGTAAACCCCCCCAGCAAAGCCTTAAGTCCTAGACCGTGCAGTAGTTTCGTACATGAAACATGCTGACGCAGGGGCAAAGCAACATTTCATACACTGTGCAAAGAATGTGGAACACACTACTCGGTGAAAATTCTGTACGAGGGAGCTGATCAATTAGATAGCCTGTTCATCGGTTGAAATCTGGGTCAAAGACGGTCGTTCAACAACATACATTCATATCCTCAGAAACATTGGAACTGTGTACAAGTCCACACAGCGCGGCGTTACAACCAAGACCGACATGGATATCTTTGTCATGAGAACCTTCTGTCTCACGTTTCCAGTAAAAGTTTACATTGCCTTAAAATTACGATAGAATTGTGTAATAAGTTCAGTTTACATCCACGAATTCGCTGCTATTGTATGCAAGTTAGTCGATCCTGATCACATATTTGAATCATCGTACATCTATTTTTAAAACGTGCAGTTTTAAATGCAAGTGCAAATACAAAACGGTGGTTATATAACATAGGATTATGATTGGCTGGTTTACGCACAACGGTAATGAATTCGTGTACCAGTTACCCTGATTTTGCTACATTTATATTCAAGTCTTCGGAAATTTTATAGGAACGGCATAGAACACTAGTAGGACCTTTGAAGTTGCACAGTTTGATGGGCCGTCAACCAATGGAAAGGACAGGTGGTAGCCGTAATCCAGGAAAAGTAGAGCCCAATTTGACATCGACCGCGAAGAAATACGATTAAATTATGAGTGAATATTTGTTTTAATTTTTAACATACAGAATGAAAACATTTGTCTCTGTACGCTGTGTACAGATCAAATTGAACATTGTTCGCCTTTTTACCACGTGCTTGCCTTGTTAAGAAATTGTATGTGCTACCAAGTGGCCGAAATACCACAATGGTTTAGTGAGACAGCCGTCAGTTACCTTAAAAGGAATGTGTGACTGATCGTAACAGTTGACAAGTATTTGTTCCAAATGTGTCAACTAGTTTGTGGGGGCAGTCACTTATAAATTCTTCAACAGAATTGCCGGAATCAGTGTGTTCGCTAATTTTCAAAACTTCCACCCAGTACAAATGCTAGCTGCACATTGTTCCGAAATCTGAATTGTATTTTGAAGCACATGATAACTGAGTCAGGCCGGCTAACACTTTTTAAAACTAAGAATAAGAAGTCTTCTGTCTGACTTTCGTGATTCGTAGGTACGTCATCAACCAAAACACAGTAGAGCCGATCAGATAAAATGCATCTCCAGCCAGTTTTATCAGCCTGAACGCTCGCCTCGAGCGTCACAACGCCTGGTCGGCCAGAACTGGCTAACGATGCATTTTATCTGATCGGTTCTCCGGTGTTTCTGTTGATGGATTAAAACTGAACCATGAAAGCAAGGTGGAAAGCTTTATTTTTCGTTTATCGAAGTGTTAGCCGGAATAATGCGGTCAACATGAACACACCACCCCTGGTAAGCCTACATGAACGAGATGTGTATGTTGTCTTTATTATAGAATCGTGTTTCTACATGTTTTAATGTTTTATGTCCACTGTAGCGGATGTCAAGGTCTTTCCATTGTGCATTATCGACACGATTGAACTCCCTTTAGTTTGCATGTTCTGTAGTTTCTCGTAAGTGTATGCGAGTTCTGTTCTTTGGCTTGTAGTGCGATAAGTGTA